AATACACTGAAACGTCGCCAAGAAACGAAAGGCTCAGAGTACTGGCACGGTTATAATGACAGCAAGTCCGTACAAGAAAATGTTGGATGATGCAGCACAAGCTAAAATTAACGCAGCGGCTGAAAAAGAGCAAAAAAAGAAAGAGAGAGAAGAAAAACGATTGAAAGCAGCAGCAGCAGAAAAGGAGAAACAGAAGGGTCAGAAAAGTAAAAACAAAGGTAAAAGCCAGCAGATTAAAAAGAAGAAATCTGTTGAGGATGGTTCGGATGCAGACTGTATTTTCTGCGATTTGTACAGTAAAACACCTAATGAAGGCTGGATACGTTGTAATGCTTGCCACCAGTGGGCATGTTTTGTATGTTTTGTATGTTTTGTATGTAAACGCAGTAGACGCATGTTTTGTATCGCTGATGGCCATTTTACCCGACCTCTCGGGTAAAATGGCCATGGTCCAAGGGGTAAAATGGACATTAGTTTTAGTCACACAAAGTACTAGTTATCATCACACAATTCACATGTGAACTCATCGTCATCAGAATCAACACCAGCACATTCATCGTGTGATGTATCGTGTGCCCACTGGTGGCAAGCATTACAACGTATCCAGCCTTCATTAGGTGTTTTACTGTACAAATCGCAGAAAATACAGTCTGCATCCGAACCATCCTCAACAGATTTCTTCTTTTTAATCTGCTGGCTTTTACCTTTGTTTTTACTTTTCTGACCCTTCTGTTTCTCCTTTTCTGCTGCTGCTTTCAATCGTTTTTCTTCTCTCTCTCTCTTTCTTTTTTTGCTTTCTTTCAGCCGCTGCGTTAATTTTAGCTTGTGCTGCATCATCCAACATTTTCTTGTACGGACTTGCTGTCCGTATAACCGTGCCAGTACTCTGAGCCTTTCGTTTCTTGGCGACGTTTCAGTGTATTTCTGTGTATGTTGAACTGTTTTGCAGCCGTCAAATAAGGCGTTCCATGTTCAACGGCGACCAATGCTTGTTTCATTGACTCATCATCCCAGGACTGCCTGGTTGTTTTTCGGACGTAATGTCTAGGCATTGTGCTGTTCTGAGGTTTACATGAGCAACAAAATATAATTCATTACTGCATGGGGCAAAAGGGCCACCCTGGCTATTTTACCCCATGAGAATGTGGCCATTTTACCCCATTAGCATCAGATAAGTGTTGCATCATCAAAGTTGAAAAATTAATAATCACAAGTACACAAACACGTGGAACTATGACATAACTGAATTATCAGATTTAATTGCCAGTATCAGTAGTATATCGTCGGTTTGTTGTTCTATAGTAATTAGAAGTTGTTTTGCATGCTTACCTTAGATCAGTCCCGTGTGAAAACACACTTTCAGCTGTTGAAAACTTGGTCGACAACGCAGAAATCCGCCATGTTGGTTAACAACAATGTTATGACAAGCAAGTATAGTAACGTGGAGCTCTACTGGTCAGCAGCACCAGATGATAACAAAACTGCAAGTGGCCATTTTACCCGCCATGGCCATTTTACCCCACTTTCCCCTACACTGCATGTATGCGATGCATGTAATGCGATTCAGTGTGGACTAAATTTTATCATACTTAAAGCCTATGCGAACTCCCAAAAAATACGTATGTTAAACCTAGTAATGTGTAGCTATGCTATGTTATGTTATGTTTTATGTATTCCGATTGTATTTACCGTTTCACTTATATGACGATATATATGTTGGCATCCAATATATGTCTAGTGATTATGGCTGGGTCGTTATGATTATATCATTCTGTAGATGTGGTAAAAGCCACCTCTGATGTTTCCATTAGTCTCGCCGTATTTCGTCACTCCAACTAACTAGGGTGTATGTATGTGTTTCTTGAGTCAACTTCTGGCCATGTGAGGGGAAGGTGCATTAGAGAATAGCCACGAATAGACGGATCGAAAGTACAGTGTACGTCGGTACGGTCTTAGATGGCTTCACTGCTTTAGTGTCTGTATCGGTGAGAGGTATTCGACTAGGTGCGGCTTGGTTACTATGGTGATTCGTGGTTTTGTTTTTCCCCAGGGTTTTGTTGATTGTGTTTCTGTTTTTTTTATTTTTTATTATATGTAATAATTCATTTACTTGTTTATTAATTTATTCGTGTAATTATTTATTTGTTTGTTTGTATATTTATTTTATTTATATACTTACTAATTTGTTTTACTTTTGCCCTTTATTTATTTATCTATCTATCTATTTATTTATTTATTTATTTCCCCACCAAAACATCTACCACAACTTGAGTACTGAACCTAGTCGTTTTGTAAATGAAATAGAATACATAATAAAGTCGATGTTGTCGAGAGTTTGCCCGTCAATTGTCCTGAAGTCGGTCTGTGTATTGTAATTAATAGTATATACGTAGTATTATCAGGAGTGTATAATAACAGACTATTATTATATTAATTTTTTAATTAAATTTATTAATATTATTATTTTTATTAATTTTTTAATAATTATTATTTTAATAATTCATTAACTTGGTATTAGTAATTGCCTCATCGCTGATCTGTCGTACGCAGGCGATCCTGCCGGAACTCTTCATCCTCACCAATGACGTGCGGTCGCGCGCTCACACGGTCAGCGCGAGTGAGCGTAGCGACGTGTCGACGTCATGGCCGGACGAGAGCGGCATGCTGGTCGGCAGCGACGAGCAGACGACAGGCAGACGCAGCCTGCAGCGCAGCCGCGGACGCAGGAAAAGTAAGCAGCCAGCGGGGGTTATGTACGATACAAGCTCGTTGTTGTTATTGTTGTTGTTGTTGTTGTTGTTGTTGTTGTTGTTGTTGTTGATGTATTGTGGGTTGTGGAGAGGGGGTAATAACCTAGTTACGGTGCTGTTCGTGTGTAGCGGGTTGTGTAGAGGGGGAGGGTAACAAGCTAGTTACGGTGTTGTTGGTGTGGTGTGGGTCGTGGAGTGAGAGGAGGGTTACAAATGTTGCTGAAATAACACTAATTCGAAATTTCGTCAGCTTACACTAGCTTGAAATCTAATGGAGCCCTCTTAGCGTCTATAAAATTGCTTGGTAAATAACTTGCTGTGGTAGTCTATAACAATATCTTCATGCAAATCTAGATCAATGATAAGTGAAATGTGACATTGCCATACGTATTACAGTAGACTCGTGACAGTTGACTGCTACGGGTGATTTTTTTCCTTAAGTCTGATCCTCATATCTTTGAGAAATTTTAATTGTGTGGTTTTAAATTTTCAAGCCTACGGAAGGTATTGCCGTGTAGTTTGCTTCGGGTAGATTACGATTCGCAGCACTATACTAGTAGTGCTTTTAGTATTGTTAGTTCGCGTAAGGTTACTTAGTGGTATAACGAAACGGAATTTTTTACGTAAAGTAGATCGATATATGCAGCCTGCTAATATTGCATGTTTGAAAACAATACGCACACACAATCGGTCTCGGCGGGACTTTATTGCCTAAATTGAAAGGCCGTTGATTACGAGACAAACGCGTTTCTGCGAGGGGTCGAGTGCGCTGTGGTATGTCAGACAGTGGATGACATGAGAACCACACTAGATTCCTGATTGCCTCTCTCGCTCCGCTCTTCTTCTTCTCGCTCTCAGGCGCTTTCTCTCTCCGCTCTCTCTCTCTCTCTCCTCTTCTCCTTTTTTTTCTTTCCTTATTCTCTCTGCTCTCGCCCTCCTCTTGTCGGCTCTTCTCTTTCCCTCTCTTCTTCCCTCCGCTCACTCTTCTCTCTCGTCTCTTTCATCTCTCTTCCTCTCTCTTGGCTCTCTCTTCCTTTCCTCTCTCTTCTCGCTCTCTCTCTCGCCTCTCCTCTGCCTCTCTTCCTCTTCTCCTCTGGCTTTCTCTGCTCTCTCTCTCTCGCTCTTCTCTCTCTCTCTTCTCTCTTCTCTCTCCTTGTCTCTCTTCTCCTCTTCTCTGCTCTTCTTCTCGGCGTCCCTCTAGCTAGCTCCTCTCTCTCTCTCTCTTCTTCTCTCTCCTCTCTCTCTCTCATCTCTCTCTCTCGGCTCTCTCTCGCTCTCTCCTTTATCCACCCTGCTCCTTATCTTCTCTCTTTCTCTTCTTCTCTCTCTCTTTGTCTCTCTACTCTTCTTCTCTTTCTCTCGGCTTTCACAACGAGGTTTTACTCTATGTATGAGGCATTTATGCACCCAAGCGATGCTCATTAATGTTCATGACACCCGTCGTATGTAAAAATGTGCCATAGGTGGCCGTGGTTTTCCGCGCACCGTCTACAGCACGCGGCCCTTCTTTATGTTCGGCCGTTCCGTAAGAGGGCACCGAGGCAGCTGAGGCCGTTACCATTGACACAGGCAGACACGTCGATGTCTTTGCCGCCGAGCGCGCGTCCGTGCGTCGCGCCCTCCAGCAACCGCCCCCAGCTCGATCGGTTGATGGTTGGCCCTCGCTACTCGGACCCCAATTTAATTAATTTTATCCTTAAACCGCCGCCGGTACTGTTATGTCGACGAGTGATGCGACATAGCCCTTCGGTACTTGAGAGCCCACACTGATGCTGTCATGCTCACGGCTCTCACGCTCTCTCCTCTCGTCTCCTCTCCGTGCTCTCTCTCTCTCGTCTCTCTCTCTCTCTCTCTCTCTCTCTCTCTCCCCTCTCTCTCTCTGCTCTCTCTCTCTCTCTCTCTCTCTCTCTCTTTCTCTCTCTCTCTCTCTCTCCCTCTCTCTCTCTCTCTCTCTCTCTCTCCTCTTTCCTCTCTCTCTCTTACTCTCTCTCTCTCGTCTCTCTCTCTCTCTCTCGCCTCATCTCTCTCTCTCTCTCTCTCTCTCTCTCTCTCTTTCTCTCTCGCCTCTCTCCTCTCTCTCTCTCTCTCTCTCCTCTCTCTCTTTCTCTCTCTCTACTCTTCTCTCTCTTCTTCCTCTCTCCTCTCTCTCTCCTCCTCTCTCGTCTGCTCTCTCTCTCTCTCTCTCTCTCTCTCTCTCTCTCTCCTCTTCTCTCTCTCTCTCTCTATGCCTCTATCTCTGTCTCCTTCTCCTCTCTCTCTACTCGCTCCTTCTCTCTCTCTCCTCTCTCTCTCTCTCTCTCTCTCTCTCTCTTTCTCTTTCTCTCGGTTTCACAAGAGGTTTTACTGTATGTATGGGCATTTGATGCACCAAGCGATGCTCATTAATGTTTCATGCATGTAAAAATCGTGCCAGTATAGGTGGCCCTGGTTTTCGCGCACCGTACGTACAGCGCTGCTTCTTTACATTCGGCTGTTCCGTAGTTGTTAAGGCACCGAGGAGGCCGTTACCATTGACACAGCAGACACGTCGATGTCTTGCCGCACGCCGCGTGTATAGTTGGCCATCGTACTCGGAAATAATTATTTTTACCGCGGTAGAAATAATTTAACCGCGGTTAAATTATAGCCATTTTTACCCAATTAGAGGCCTTGTTACGCGTAATGCGCTATCGACCACGGTAAAAATAATTATTTCTCAGCACGATGACCAACTATATACGCGTGAGCTTTTCTGCGAGTCATTTTTATCTGCGTCATCTCCGTCTGGTTCTAAGTTTAGACGCAGGTCAATTCGATATAATAATATCGCTGCGGGCTGTCTATGTCTCAGACGGCATTCCGTAAGGTCGAGCGTACGTTGCGCGGAAACTAATCTACGTTTTACCGCACATGCACGCACGCACGCACGCACGCACGCACGCACGCACGCACGCACACATATACGCACAAACTGTAAAATGATCAACGCTGACTGATCAACGTTGGTTGGTCAACGCTGACTGATCAACGTTGGTTGGTCAACGCTGACTGATCAACGTTGGTTGATCAACGCTGACTGATCAACGTTCGGTGGTCAACGTGTAACTTTAACGTCCTCGTAATTACGTTTACGTCGCCGTGACAGTTACGGGAACTGCTCTCCACCATAAGCACTGCATTTCTTACTGTCTAACGAGAGGGCACGTACGAAGAAGCTCTTGTTAGTTTACAAGCCCTGGCAGCAGCCCCCCGCGGTACCACCACCAGCTAGCCCCGGCAACGCCTTATACACACGAAGTAATCAATATCATACACGGCCATCATATACGCGCGCTATATACTTGTTATTAGTATTTGTTGCGTGTTCGCTGTATCTAATGTAAGTTTCATTTGCTCCTCGTTCCGCCCTCCCCCCACACCCACACTTCACGCCCGCACTAAACCCACCCACCCTCACTCACCCACCCACCCTCACTCACCCACCCACCGCACACCTGCACGCTCGCGCCGCAACGCAGGTGAGGGCGAAGAGGCGGACGACAACGATGCGAATCAGTCGTCGCAAGACCCGCGCGACGACGAGCTCCCGCCCCTCAGTGCCCTCAGCGTCTCTCCTACGTCTTCAGATAACCTGAGCACGCGCACGCCCGGACGCAAGATCCACGCGGTGCGCGGCCGCGGCGCGACGCCTTGTACGGAGGACTCCGGCGTGCAGGGGTCCGACAACGGCATGCACGTAGAGAGGTGAGTGGGTAGTGCATGCATGAGCGAGCGAGCGAGCGCACAGCACGCGCGAGAGATCGTCAGACGCCACCGCTTCGTTGTTGTTGTTTTTACGCGGCGTCGCATCTCTCCTGCATGGCTTCCTGATTCCTTATCCTCGCCGCCGTGCAGCTTCCTGTCTGCATCACGCGGATTTACATCTAAACTCATATTTATTATATATATTTATCTGGCTTCGCGAATTTTTTTACTATTGCATGGCTTCGGGTTTATTTTGCGCCACGTAGCTTCCCGACTGATCTGTACATGGCGTATATCGACTGACATCGCATATATATTTATTATATATGTTTATTATATATATTTATCTGGCTTCGCAAATTTTTTTCTCACCGCGCGCGTATATTCGCATCTACTCTGTTTTGGTTTCATTCGCACGGCTACACGGCGGTGGTTTTTGCGTCACGCATTCGGTTCGCGGTGTTACCGATCCTTGTTACTATTGCACGGCATCACAGGCACTTGGAGCGTTTCAATAAAATATAATGCTAAATAAAAACGAAATCTGATTTACTACCAAAGTTTAATGTATACTCTACTCTCTTTCACCTATTTATTGTCGACAATTTCCTGTAAATTCCGTGCAAATGGCTCCTCTGTAACACAATGTCCACCCGCACGCCACGCGCGCACACCTGACACATAAATATAAGCAGGTAGGAAAAGAGGCGAGGCCAAAGTCGCTCGGACGCTCCGCTTGATCTTCACACGATTACAAGCACAAATATTCAACCATTTTGGCACTTCGCTTTCCTACCTGCCTACGTGTCTGTATGTGTCAGTGTGCCGCAGGCGTCCGGCGGCAGCGGTGACAATGTGTGTTGCAGAAGAGAATTTACACGGAATCTACATGAAATTAGTCAGGCGCAAATAATAAGCGACAAGAGAGTAGAAAAACATTAAGGACTTTGGTAGTAAATAGATTTTGTATTTATTTAGCATTATAATTTTATTGAAACGCTCCAAGTGCCTGTGCACGGCATCGTCACCTTCTGTATCGCGTTGCCTTCCGTGCTCGCCGGTTTTTTCGCACCTGGCAGTTTCGCAGCATTGTCTCCGGCGTGCACGTCTGTCGGCGCCATCTATCGTGAATTTTATTTGCAGTAAATAATCGCAAA